GCGACCACCAAGGGAGGAGAAGCTTCTCCGTTGGCCGACGCGCGAAACAGTACCAAGCTTCAGCAATTGAGACGAGGGTTACACTAGCCTCGTCCATGAACCAGCACCGCACCCCAACCATCGCCGACTGCACCTGGACAGTACCAAGCTTCAGCAATTGAGACGAGGGTTACACCGCTATGGACAAGCGGCGGAGGCCGTCCACCGACGGACCTGGATATCCGACGAGGGAGTTTCAACCGGCGAAATTAAAGGGGCGAATTGGCTAGGATTTTGGGAATATTGGGAACGAGGAGAGCGAAAGTACTTTTTATTTTTAAGATAGGTGGGTTTTCCCATCATAATTTGGTCACATATGTGCAATTATGCATATATATGGTAATATAAATCACATTGAAATAATGGTTTTTTTTTTTTTATTTTTTTCCATTTTTATGCCGTTACGGGGAGCAGAGATACTACTTGTAATAGGTATTGATGCCAATTTAATTTGTTGCCGAGTGATCCCAATATTGCAAATCATTTAATCTCATTTGAGATTGTAACACTTCCACGTGAACTATATAATACTATGTGAACTAATACTACATCATGTGCATATGCTCCAAAAATTCAATTTTGGTCCTCTAAGTTGTCATTGTCTATTTTTTGTACATCAACTTTCCTCTCATAAAATAGTACGTTATATTGCAGTTTGTATCACTATTGAGACATTATCCCAAAAATGGTGCATTATTTTTTGGGATTAATGTCCTAAAAATGATACATATTGCAACATAACATACTGTTTTTTATGAGTAATGTCCCAAAAATACTACAAATTGCAACATCACGTACTATTATTGATGAGTAAAAAGTTGGTGTACCAAAAATAGACAATTACCAACTTAGAGGACCAAAATTGGATTTTTGCCAAGCCCAAAGTACATAATATGACAATTATTTATAAAAGAAAATGCTTATATTTTTAGAAACTAGTTAAGTGTACGTGAGATGCACGTGGTGGTGAAAGTTTTTGGCCGATTAAGCTTAGTTACATAAATCAATTAATATATTAATCATATAACTGTAAGAACAAAATAAAATGTGGACAAATGAACTCCTAGTATATCAGTTTTTTTACATATATAATAATGTCCTAATATAAAAAGAATGAAATAACATATCATTACCCCCAACAAAAAAATGAGTCTTTAATGAAAAATAAACACTAAATAACTAAATAAGGACATAATGTATATTGAAAATTCATTAGTTCTTTTCTTTACTCATGTTAGATTATTCAAGAAAAATTTTCTTTCGTTTCGATTTCGACGCCCTCATATGAAATATTCATATATGTTAGAGTCCAATACATCAATAGTATTTCCTAATTCTTCTTAGTCCATTTACCAGAATGTCTACTTTATTCAAATACTTAGAAATATTCTAGTAAAATATATAATCAAACTTTATGATTGTATGATCTTTATGAGGTATTTCTAATTTCTATTAATTGTTCATTAATATCTATGTGAATAACCAATTGTGTCTGATAGTTTTTTTTTTCTTTTTTTTTTTTT